ACGAATTGGCTTTGTCTCAATGGCTCTGTTTACACCTGATCTTAAGAATGATCACGTAAGAAAAGATAAGTGAACAATATACTTGGTGCATCATCTCAAAATTGGATGTGGTCACGAGTTTACCTCACAAAACCCTGTTTCCACCTGTATTTATTGCTGACCACTTGTAATCAGATCACACACACACACACAAAAAAAACAGTAGGTAGAAACAGACCCTATGTGTTGTTTGGGCGCCTGTGTGTGTGTGTGTGTTCATGTCTTCGAACTTCTGAAGCAGCCCTCTGTGTTCTGTCATCTTTGCAAAGAAGTGGCATTCCTCCCGCCCACCTTTTTGTGTGTTTGTGTGCGTCCTGAGCCATCTGCCTTCTCCTTCTGGATCACGCTCCTTTCTCTTCCATTCCACCCCCTGCTTTTCTCTGCCATCACACCGGTATCAGTGTCATATGACAGTGGCAGTGAGGAGACCCAAGCTAGGAGCCGTGACTCATTCACAACAACAGAAACAGATCAACACAACCTGGAGAGCTGCCATTAGACTGCCACTGAGACCCACATAACAGCACAAACAGCACACCATGGACAGGACATGGCCCTACATTTACAGCACTTTATAGTCCCTGCTTGCCAGATAATATTGTCTTGTGCCTTTTCCTGTTTATTAATATGAACAATGTTTTTTATAGGCCCAAAGTTGTAGTTGTCATAATACTTTTTTTTTTTTAATGAAAATTATTTATTATTGGGTATTTTTAAGGTACATTTTTAATAGGGTTAGGGATTTTAGCATTTGGTTAATCTGCAGTTTTAGTGCTAGAAAAATGAAAATGGCTAAAACTAAATAATTGAAAACAGTGAATTAGTAAAGACGTGATGTGATATTTCATATGCCCATCTGTCCTTGAAAGTGGTATGCAGTGGTGAACAGTTTTTGCTTGATGTCCAAAGTGTGCAAAGTTAGTTTAGAAGTCTATACTTTAGTTTTTTCTACTTTAGTTTTCTATACAATATTTTTTCTTTTTTGTTTTAAAGGGGTCATATGCTGCTAAAAAAGAACATTATTTTGTGTATTTGGTGTAATGAAATGTGTTTATGCGGTTTAAAGTAAAAAAAACGCATTATTTTCCACATACTGTACATTATTGTTTCTCCTCTATGCCCCGCCTTTCTGAAACGCATTGATTTTTACAAAGCTCATCGTTCTGAAAAATAGGTAGGTGTGGCTGACTCTTAACTTTTATAAAGAATATCTCTTTGGATTTGAGACTTTAGTCTTTGCAACTTTACAGATCTTCTTTATGCACCAAGAGCTTGTAACACTCCAAAGAGAAAGGAAAAAATGAAATTGTTTGATTGCTCAGATTGTCAAAGAGTGTTTGTATGAATAATATACAGCAAACATTATAAATGATAAATATCAATTAATATATATGCTTGGTGGGCTCTTTTCACTTGAACCTGAAAGCAACTATCCGGAGCAACATTGTAACCTGCATAGCAACACATTTAACATGAAAATGTATGTATGAAAATATATTTCCTCATGATTGGCAATGATAGTTATTTTTGTAATCAAGCTAAATCCAAAGGAGTCTCTATTCCATAACTGCTAACAAACAGAAAGGCTGAAGTGTCTGAACAGTTCTACAGTAAATGTTCTGCAGCTAAAATCTGCAGCTTATTATTTGCTAGAAAGCTTTTCCCTGCTGTGAACTTTGAATAGTTCCATTTAGACCCTTCAAATGGTCTGTACTTTCCAGAGTAATGGATTACAAGCATTCAAGACAGCTTTGAAAGTTAGCAAGCCCAAACCGATGTAAGTGCGCTTGTGTATGCGCGTGTTTGAGACAGATATAAACAGCGCGCCATAAATCTGACTCCCTGTGGAGAAGTTCTTCCATAAATTCTGAAGCCGATCAGAGAAAAGTAATTCAGTGATGGGGAAATCAATTTCATTTAAAACTCTCATCTCTAGCTGACGGCCAGTAAGAAAGAGTCTGGGTTTAAAGAAGTCCGTGGAAAATGACGAGAAATATTCTATTACAGCGGAAGGCTGTAATAGTCACTGCCTCAAGCTAGAGTTGGTTGTTGTTGCTGTATCCCAGCAGGTTTCTTCTTTTTGGTCACCAAGGTGCCAGATTCACAAAATATTCTCAAGAATAAAATTCTTCTTAACTGCTGTTTTCTTCTTAATTTCTAACTTAAGAATAAAGTTCAGAATATTTTGTTTTCCCATGCATTTTCTATGAATGTTCCTTGCTTGTTTCTTAAGATTCATCTAAAGACAAAATTTTGGATTCTTGGAATTTGGATTTTTTTCAAGAATTGCATTTAGGAACGTTCTTATAAATTACTTTAACGTAATGGTTCACCCAAAAATGAAAATTTGCTGAAGATTTACTCACCCTCAGGACATCTAAGATGTAGACGAGTTTGTTTCTTCATTGGAAAAGATTTGGAGAAATGTAGCATTCCATCACTTGCTCACCACAATGGACCCTCTGCAGAGAATGGGTGCCGTCAGAATGAGAGTCCAAACTAATCCACAAGCAGTCCACACATCTCTAGTCCATCATTTAACATCTTGTCAAGTGAAAAGCTGCATGTTCATTAGAAACAAGTCCATCATTAGGGCATTATAACTATAAACCATTGCTTCTGGCCATAATCTATAAAAATGAATAAAATATTAATTTGAAATCACAGATTTTTCCTTGAACTTTGATGTTTGGGTCATTCAGCTGCCCTCACACCAACACGTTTTCAGTGTTTCACCATCTGTAATCCTCTCCCCTATTATACCCAGCAGGCCGGTGTATTTTCCAATCACGTACTGGCACACTGGAGGGCCGTGTAGGGCTGCGGTGCCGGAAGGTTGACATTAATAATGTGATTGTGCTTTGCCCTCTCTTATCCAGAGGTGGCAGAGGGCAGGCCTCCTCCTGCTGCTGAGAGAGAGAGGCAATCAGCATTTAATCTACAAGACTGATTAACTTCTCATTACAATCAGACACACACACACACACCATGCAGGCACTCAGACACACAAACACATGTACAAACGCACAGCAACACACACTACTCTCACACTCCAGAGGTGGATCTGTAATTATGCCACAGAGATCAAGTCAGGCCTACTTACACAGCTCTAGCAATCAGTTTTATTTATGCATTTATTTTCAAACTATTTGTAAGGAACCTGGCAATTACAGGAAAAGAATGGCTCAAGTGTCATGTCACTGTCTTTGCTGAATCACCTGGGTCTGTCTTTGCTCAAGTGTCGTTTCAGTCGGACACATTTTGATTGAGAATAGAGCAGAGCGTTAAACAGAAGTTTTACTGTTAAAACTACTGTTTAGCAATTTTATTTTAGTATTTGTAAAGTGTGATTCTAGAGATATATTTCTTATTTATATTTTATCCAAGTTAAGCCAATACAAATATATTTATTGTCATTTTATCTATTTTAACAATATTTATTTTAACCATAAAGATCTGTATGCCTCTAAAGTTGTACATCTAAAAATGATTTACGGTTTGAGGTTGTCAGTACACTGATATTGTACATTTCTATACAAGTGATCAAAAATATGTACACTTCGCATAAAATACCTATGAATACAAAAGAGATCTCCCTGAAAATTAACTTTTTAGTAAGTACTATGCTATATAGCTAACACAATCCGAATTACTCAGTTTTTTATGTCAACCAATTATTACATTTTTCAGCCTGGCTGGGTGCAATCAGCGAATTATAAGACAGCATGAAAAATACATTTTGCAATGACTTTAGTGTGAAATGTTCAGTTTTAATATCAGATCATGAAGGATACACATACACTGCTCCATGGACAGAAAGACGAGCACATACGAGTCTTGAGTTTCCAAACCATGCTCTTTACAACCTTGGGATACGCACAAATAATTTCAGAAATGTCAGTTCAACTGAGGCGTGTAAATAAAGGCTTCTCTGTTGACACCTCATTTGAATGCTGAGCAGATGACCTCTGCATTTATGAAGGTCTAGAAGAGAAACATGAAAATGCTCAATGTCTCTCAGCAGAGAACCAAACCCAACCTGCTTCCTCAAACATGAGTGCATTTATCCACCTTTTTCTTGCCGTAAATTCTATGGGTCTAGCTTCCGGTCTCATCTGCGTCCAGCTATTTTTAGCTGTACAAAATAGTTCGTTTTGCTGCTTGATATTAAAAATTGGTGTGTCTTACCATATTGTTTTAATGTGTTATCTTAATTATGAACACACTGGTTTGTAGTGCAAACAGTTTTACCGTTTAATGCACGTTGTTATTCTTGTCGTTATTTATCTGTAGCGGTTAATGATCCGGAAGTCTCGCCCATAGGCTTTTTTCATGCCTTCAGAACAATGTATTTCAATTTCATTATTGAGCTACATGTATAATTATTTAAGATCATTGCATAACATATAAAAGTCATATGTGACCCTGGACCACAAAACCAGTCATAAGGTTTAATTTTTAGAAATTGAGATTTATGCATCATCTGAAAGCTGAATAAATAAGCTTTCCATTGATGTATGGTTTGTTAGGATAGGAGGACAATATTTGGCCGAGATACAACTATTTGAAAATCTGGAATCTGAGGGTGCAAAAAAAAAATAAAATCTATATATTGAGAAAATTGCCTTTAAAGTTGTCCAAATTAAGTTCTTAGCAATGCATATTACTAATCAAAAAATACGTTTTGATATATTTACGGTACTTTCAAGTTTTGATATATTTACAGTAGGAAATTTACTAAATATCTTCATGGAACATGATCTTTACTTAATATCCTAATGATTTTTGGCCTAAAAGAAAAATGTATAATTTTGACCCATGCAATGTATTTTTGGCTATTGCTACAAATATACCCCAGTGACGTAAGACTGCTTTTGTGCTCCAGGGTCACACATTATTTAACAACCTGTTGACTGTAAAATATTTGATGCTAAAGAATTTTTGTTATTCTGTTCTTCCAGATTGGAGGCAGTAGTTAGCCTAGCACCTAAAGACGATGAGGAGAAAGCGAAAACGAAAGATGCGGTTGCAAAAACCCACAAGAAAAATGGACACGTGAAACGCAGAGGACGTAAACGCCACAGCCACCGTCGAGCTCGCAGGTCTGTATCTTCTAAAGCTGTGCCTCAGACACACATCTTCATCAAAGATGTTTCGGTGCTTAGGAGTAAACACTTCAATGTAAACTATGCATTTGCTGTTCTAGAAAAGAAACTATTTGTAGAGTCTCTGAAGGTAACCGCTTTTGAAGCGCTTGAAAACAGCATGTGCTGTTGAAAATGTACAATTCAACCGCAGAACCTTAGTATAGATAAATCTATTCAAATGTGAATTTTATTTTTATTTTTGACCCCAGAGAAGATCAAACACATGAAAATATGCAGCACCAAATCCACTTCTAAGCCACATCCTCACTCTATAAGCATGAATTAGAAACCCCAAACTTTAAAGCGAGGCAGGCACAAACGCTCTTATCTCCTCGCCACAGTGTAAACATTCAGGTGTTGCTGGAATTTTGAACACGGGTGTCTTTTATGGGGTCCTCTTACTTCCCATCCACCAAAATTCAAACTCCGCCTGGTGAATGAAATTGATTCAGCATTGGATTCTTAACGCCGTAATTCCACTGATACCTTCAAAGTGCTGGTGATAACGCAGGGCACAAGCAATGCATCAGTATGTAAAACAGGGAGGACGCCAGCTCAAGCGTTATCTTAAACATGCTAATCTCTGAGTTCATGCTCTGTTTTCTGGCAGAGAACGGCAGATGCAAAGGCAGTTTTTTTATTGAGATTTTATAATCAAGCATACATCAGCAGCTAAACAATGCAAGATCAAAGAACGATTAAGTCAGATCAAGCTAAAGCTCCGAAATCCCCAAACAGCTTTCTTTCCTTCATCACAACAACTGAAGAATCCTAAATCGTGTACACATACAGTTGTTTTCTTATCTAAATAAAAGAAACATCTCAAATGTGGAAAGTCTTATTGTACAGTGTCAATTTCAGTGTCAGTAAAGTGACATTTAAATAGAAGCCCTCTGTCCTTCTGGGAAGACCCTTCTGTTTAAAGTCTTTTATTAGTCCTGACAAGTGCTTTCGCATTGCAGGTTTGACATCCTTTGGAGTGTGTCAGTAGTCAAAAGCTCTCTGTGCCATCTTATGCTTGCACGATTTTCCTTTCATAACTTTGGCAACAAGCTTAAGCCTCTGTATTTTGGTTTTGAGAATCATGATGCAGTTTTTTTTTTTCCAAAGCAGAAAGGTACGTACAGCAGTGCAAGCAATGTAAACAGCGCTGAAGCCCTCAGTGAAATGTCAGTTATCAATGTTGACAGCCTTTTAACTCTCTAACCTTGTCTATTCTCCGGAGTGTGTCAGTGTTCAGTCTAACTCACAAGATGACCCTCTCCGTGCTGTTCCTTCTGACAGCTGAAGTGATGGTGGCCATTAGGGGTGTGTTCGTTACCTGTGCGCATTCAAGGTCGACTGAAACTGACGGAAAGACTTTAAAAGCTTGAGAGCAAACCAACAAGCTGAATGAAAATCATAGCATTAAAAGCATTAGTCAATGGATCAAACAGTGTCACAGAAAAGTTTCTGTGGTTGATTTCAGAGCTGATTGGAACTAGGGCTATCATGATATCAGGTTTTCACTACAAGATTATCATGGCCAAAAGAATTTACGATAACGATATTTGCCCAATATCTATAGAAATATGGGGGAAAATAGAAGATCGGTCAAATTGATCTTTAACTCAGTTTTGTGTTTTCTCTTTTTTGACCAATAAATCAGTCACACAGTGACAAACTTACTTTTTTCAGGTGTGGGTAGAGTGTCTTGCTTCCGTCTGTCATGATTTTGTGCAGCAGTAGTAACTCCACACTGCCTTGTCTTGTTTTTTTGACAGGCAACAACCCGCTATAAAGTGCAATTCCGCCACCTTCTATGCTGGAGTGTCAACCGAATAGTTATTGGTGCTGGATTATTTACGCTATTATAATATGTGTAGTATTTACATAATATCAATGTTTCATTTTTTTTTTTATATCATTGTATTGATAGGTTATTATCAATACTGGTATATTGAGACCCCCTAATTGTAACTGATCTAAAATGCACCGTAAGCTGACAACAGTTCTTAAAAAAGACAATTTTTGTCATAACTGGTTAATTTTTTTAGGATAGTTTATTTAAAGCTGCAGTCCGTAAGTTTTGCCTCTTTGTCGCCATCTCTGTTTGAAAACCTGCAATTGCAGATGTTTGCGGAATCATCTTCCTTGCTTGTGTTGTGCCCATTTTCAACCCCCTGCCAAATTATTACCCCTCTGGTTGAAATCTGATTGCCTAATCCTAACCCCTCCCCCACACCTAACCCTAAACCTACCAATAATAGGGGGGTAATAATCTGGCAGGGGTCAGAATTTGGCATAACACCGGCTAGGCTTTCAACGCGGATGAATCTGTTTTGGGGAGCATGTGTGTGTGGCAGTCAGTCACCGCACCGGTGTGGATATTTAATGTACTTCGCACTCACAGATTCTAGCCTACGTCTTGGAATATATAACCCAAATAAGAATTTTCACAGAATATTGACATCTGAACAAGTAACAAGTCTGCTACATTTGTTCTGACCAACTGAGGAAAAAAGCATTACAATAAAGTATAATTAAGCAGAAATGGCACTTGCTTTTATGCTAATCAGCTTCTAATGCATTTCAGACTTGCTAATGCAGCAATGGCTGGATGAACTATTCCTATATCAGACCAAACAGCCTTTTCCACCCTCGGAGAGCGAGTGAGCAACCCGCTCCCCCGTGAGCTCATCCGCGCAGCCAGCCTGGCTCTCCGTCTGTGTTTTGATCCATCTAAATGGTTTCCTCTCAGTGCTCATATTGAATCACTGACTGGCTGGGCAAAGCCAAAGCTACAACAGTCTGTAATTCATCGACTGACACGGACAGCACTCCCCTGTGTCTATGAAATATTATTATCCTGCTGTAGCGATGTGCCGCAAGAAGGAAATCTCATTGCCGCTTCCACCGTTCCTTTAACCTGCACCAGTCATGTGTATTGGTCATGGATATCCTGTATACCTTCTTCCATGCTTTATATTTTCATTGCTGCCTGTCAGATGCATGTCATTCTGACAGTCTGTGATGTTATGTTATGTGAAAGAGCTATTTAGTGTACACATACCTCCACAGAGGAAAAAGCATTACATTTTCAATGTTCTATCCCTCCTACCTCCACTCTGCTAATTCTTACGAGACAAGCTCTTTCGGTCACAGAGCATTTAAAGCTTAATATAGCGAGCTAAAATGAGTCTCTTTGATATAAATAGGGTCAGTATCAGAAAATCTGCCTTTGAAAATATTATAGGGGTCAGCTGTTCCGTTCCATGGGCCTTATCAGTGTTTGAATGGTACAGATTGAGGATTTTGAAGCATCTAATAGAGAGGGGAGAGGGGGGGGGGGTTCAAAGGATTAAAAGTGATGGAAGGACATTATTTGATGTGGCTAAATAAGATAGGGGCAGCGGGAATAGTGTTTGCTCATTCCAGCTTTCCGGTCTTTGTATTTAATAAATCCCCTTTGTTTTGGGAGTTGGAAATGTAACCTTTGCAATTAGCTTGAAAAATGCCTGTAACTCGTTCAGCTCGCCTCTTCCCTTCGGTTTGAATCTGCAATATTGGTGGTTTGGGTAAAGCGTTTCACGCCCACTTTTGATTGAATCTTCTGCCGTTCCTGATGGAATGAGAGTGGTGTGTAGCCATCGCTGCAATCAAAATAATAACAGTTGCGCCAACATTGAAAACGTGTGATATAAATGTCTGCTCTCTGTGAATAGTCTCCCCGTTGATGATTGCACTTGAATTGCTTTCCCGAGGAATCGAGACTTTTAGTAGTAGATGCAGTGTGGTATCTCTCTGTTAAGCTTCAAATCCTTCCTTGCACTTCCCTCGATGTTATTGCCTTTAAAAGACGCTTTTGAGGTGACACCTCTGTGCTTTTGAAACGGCACACATGTCCCACTCAATCAGGACACGCTGTCCATTCTCTCTGATCTTCTGCTTTGTTGTTGCAGAAGTGTTGCTGCTAAAAGTAAATTGATTTTAAAAGCTACCTGTCCGAGCATGCAGCTTTCTATTTCTTTCTCTCCTTTCTGTCTTTGATGCGTCCTTCCTCTTTAACCTCTATTTTACCAAGTGCCTTTTCTGTTCTTAAGAATTTAGATGCTTTGGGTGACGGATTGCCAGCATAGGTTCATTGAAAAAATGTGCCTCTACCTACATTTTTGTAAAACTCCCAAAACCATGCATTTAATTCACTGCAGTTAGCAGCTGAAATGAACACTAGTGGCAATAAAACACTAATTATTGATTAATAAAGACGCAATTTCTTGCACAATACTATGTTATTATGACTGTAGAACACTTTTACCATAGTGCATGATTTGTAAACGAATGCATTTTGAGGTTTGCATTGCATAACCAGCTCCATATGTATGGCTTTCTAACACTGTAGACGTGCTTGGTCACTCACCTGGTACAGGGTTGCATTTGCGATGTGGAGCGCTCAAAACACAAATCATGCTAAAAGAGCTCATAGACTTGTAGGAACAAGCTAAAATGGAATGATTGCTTCAGCAAGTGCATTTTTATCTCACGTTTGCTTTAGTTAACATCGGTATCGCTTAGGTTTAGCGTATGATTTAATTTATGTTGTACATTATTTTTAAACATTATAGAACACACAATGTTAGATTTCCGAACAGCCATGAAGCAACCAACATAATAAAATATTGCTAGATTCACATTCATCAGTTTCGGGTTAAACGGAACACACTTTTAGCGCCACTCATTGGACATTTCACTTTGAAGGTATAGCGAGAAGTGTGCAAGAAGCAATGTAATGTAATATTGCTGAAATGCTGCCACAGGCAGGTTTTTTTATTTTTTCTCAATAAGCTTGTGTTGCTAGAACAGTGTATTCAGTACATCCAAGAATATTAGTTTGGTGCCTCTAGAAATAATTTTATGCACAGCTGTCTACTTCTTCCATTTCAGAAACTTTCTGTCATTTTTACGGTTAGAATCAATCAGCGTTTGATTAACTTAAGCCTGACCTTTGCTTACAGTGATTGACTGGTCATTCATCAAGCTCTTACTATTGAATAATTGTCTTTGCATGACCTATAAAATGAAATAACAGAAACAGATTCTGAAAAATGTGTTCTCTCTTGTGTTTGCTTTTCCAGTGTCTCTTTTGATGCTGATCTTTCCCCTCGGCCGGTGCCTAAAGCAAAGAAAAAGAAGAAGAAGTCACAGAGAAAGAGGAGGAGACACAGGTCAGCCAAAAAAAATAAATAAATAAAATCAAGTGACAACAATATTCTTTTATATAGCAGTCAACAAAATTGACAATGTTATACAGTTCAGATAGATTAGAACAATTGCATGCTGTATTTAATCAATATCCAAGAACAGCTTTTAATTGTCACACAGTTCACAAAGTACACGAGTGAACAATAAACAGTGTGTTTGTGTCATAAAGTATCCAAGCACACTCAAACTGTTCTCAGCTTGTTACGCTTTAAGGAAAGGCTTTTACATTTCTTTAAATTTTAGACATTCTGTTTTCTTGCTGCCTTTGGGTTTTGTGTGCCGGCAGATTCTCACTCACTGAATCTCATTCACTTTAAAAGCCTCTCCAATCTACAAAACATACTGTATGTCATCAATGCATATGTCTACAATTCCTTATTATTTACTTCCTTATCATATGCTACTGTATCATATCATAGTGTATCATACATTACTGTTAAGAAGTTTAGGTTTAGAAGTTTAGGTCTATTATTCTCTCCAAAGCTTATTTAATTGATCAAAAATACAGTGAAAACAGTAATATTGTTAAATATTCTTATTTCTATTTTAATGCATTTTAAAATGTTATTTATATTCCTATGGTGGCAAAGCTGCAATTGTGGCAGCCTTTACTCCAGGCTTTATCCACATGATCCTTCAGAAATCATTCTATGTTGATTTGCTCAATAAATATTTTTTATAAATGTTGAAAACAGTTGTACTGCTCAATATTTTTTGCATAAAAGTTGTGTACATTGTTTCTCTTTGAAAATAATTAATTTGAAACAAAAGGAATTAAAAAAAAAATCAATTCACACATCTTTTGAACTATATTCTAAATTATTTGAAAGTATATTCAATTATATAAAAGCCTTTGGAACACATTCCAAGATTTTCATATATGGGCTAAATATCCTTATTATTTACTTCCTTATCATATGCTACTGTATCATATCATAGTGTATCATACATTACTGTTAAGAAGTTTAGGTTTAGAAGTTTAGGTCTATTATTCTCTCCAAAGCTTATTTAATTGATCAAAAATACAGTGAAAACAGTAATATTGTTAAATATTCTTATTTCTATTTTAATGCATTTTAAAATGTTATTTATATTCCTATGGTGGCAAAGCTGCAATTGTGGCAGCCTTTACTCCAGGCTTTATCCACATGATCCTTCAGAAATCATTCTATGTTGATTTGCTCAATAAATATTTTTTATAAATGTTGAAAACAGTTGTACTGCTCAATATTTTTTGCATAAAAGTTGTGTACATTGTTTCTCTTTGAAAATAATTAATTTGAAACAAAAGGAATTAAAAAAAAAAATCAATTCACACATCTTTTGAACTATATTCTAAATTATTTGAAAGTATATTCAATTATATAAAAGCCTTTGGAACACATTCCAAGATTTTCATATATGGGCTAAATATTCCCTTAAGCGTTACTATAAAAAACAGAATGCTGGATGTGTTTTCGCTACATGTGATCATATTTGATCTTGCAGATCTCCCTCCTGCAGTCCATCACCTGTGAGGAAGAAGAAGAAAAAGAAGAGCTCAAAGAAAAGGAAGCGACATAGGTAGTGATTGATTTTCCACATCAGATCATGTTTAGAGGTTTGCTTTGAGTACACTTTGCTGGTGTGGTGTGTGTGTTTGTTTTTTTTTTGGTCATGACTGTCTTTAAAGTCCGCTCCTCTCTGCCTCCAGGTCTGCCTCAAGGAAGGGACGACACAGGTACATTTTAGATTTATTTAATGTTTGTTTTTAGTGCTCTTTCCTAGAATAAAGGGCACAGTGCTTTTCACAAAGTACAGATAATACCTGATGATTATTGTGAAGTGCTCTTAAGTAGTTTATGGCTCCCCAGAGGAAGAGTTCCTCTTTCATAGCTCAGGAGATTGCCGTTATGTATCATTTAAGTATCCCAGATGTTTCTCCTAAAATTCTTTAAGAGATAAAAAAGGCACAATTATTGACATACTGTAAGAATATAGCGATCTGTACATACAGAATCCATTTAATCGTATTGTTTTCTAGCAGAAACAGCAAAGAGATCTCATCTGTTCATTTTCTTTCCTGTGGGACCTTTAATTTAAACCTAATCAATAGATTCTCCTATTTTACAGTGGCTCGAGTCCCAGACGTAAAAGAAAGGAGGACAAAAAGCATAAAAAGAGGTTGGTGATTTTAAAATTAATAATTTAAAATCCATTAGCTCACACTTCAGTTGAAAGTATTCAAGCACTGACAGTTTATTGAGTTATATTCAAGCTCCTCTGTGGTTTATCATTTAGTGTCAAAAGCTTAATGCATTCCGCAGTATACGGCACCTGCATGACCTCTCATGCACGAGAGTCACATACTCTAGATTAGATTACGGTGTATTGACAGCCGCACTGTAGTGCACCTCAGCTCCTCTCAGAGAGTGCTGTTATTGGCTGCTTTTGTCGTGTGGTCTCTCAAACTGAAGGAGGCCAGTGCAGCCAGAGAGACAGAAACATGAACCAATTTCATGGCGCTAGTCTGCTGCACACAGAGCCAGAGAAGAAGTGATTCGCTGGGCTTCTGATCCTCGAAACGTTCAGGTTTTGTGAGTGTGTTAAATTAGTGGATCTCAAGTGGTTTTGCTTCACGACCCAGGACTCTAAATTCTTTGTCCTTTGCAACTGAATTGCACATGTACTGAAACTGTTTATGTAGGCTTTAATTCATTTCTGTATTTTCTTGATTTATATGACATTTTATGATATACTAATGCTCAGGATGATTTAGGAAATAGTCAGGACATGAGAATCTTTTCTGCACAAATGGATTTATTCCATCTGATATTGTTATTTCTGAAGTGGTAAATGATATGTTGGTAAGGTGCTCAAGAAACATTTTTTTTTTTGTATCAGTGTTGCTTAATATTTTTTTGGAAATATAGATTTTTCAGGATTCTTTGTCAAAAGAGCAGAAATAGAGCTACTGTCACTTTTGATAAATTTAATGCATATTTGCGGAAGGTCTTTAAAAAAAAATCTTACTGCCCCCAAACTTTGAATGATAGTGTACATTATTCCACAAAAGTGTTTTATTAAATCTTGTAAATATTCATATTCCACCCCAGAAATGACTTTGCCTTTCATGGAACAGGAAAAATGTATGTTAATTAACGTTTTTCTCATAAAATATTCATATACACTAAGAAATCAGGGCTCGCGAAATTTCAAAATCTCTGGTAGCCCTTCGGCCAGGCAGATTTTGGTAGCCGGAAATTATTTTAACTAGCCCTTTAACTATTTTAACTTTAAAGGGGTCATATGATGCTGCTAAAAAGAACATTATTTTGTGTATTTGGTGTAATGAAATGTGTTTATGCGGTTTAAAGTAAAAAAACCACATTATTTTCCACATAAAATAAAAAATTATATATATATATATATATATATATATAGAAAATTGGGTAGTGTAGAAATGTCAATCAAAAACATTTTCACACATATCAAGGAAGGAATTTTATTTTACAGGGCATCTGAAGATATATATATATAAAAAAATCAGTGTAAGGGTTTTTATGACCCTTTTTAAGACTTGCACAAATAAAATGAACACCGTATGAGTGGGGTTGGGCAATGTCTATGGTAACATATTAAACTATAAAATGACATGATTTACAGTTCAGAAACAGGTTCTCACAAAAACAAAAGCCTTGTAAAATGATAGACATCACATTTCAGCCTTTAAACCATTAAGAAAAGGGATGAGCCAAAGATATACATTATCATATTAATTTAAAACATATAAACATATATCTTAGTGTCTTAATTGTTTAGATTTTTAGAAGGCACATTAGCTTCTTTCACATTTACAACTGTACGTGTTTGGTGCTTTTAAAGTATGGGTCGATATTCACATTGGTCTGAACATAAATGACAGATGGGCTTACTGAAAATGCAAATCACTGATCTGTGTAATGATCAGTGATGCACATTCATTCTCTGCCAGCAGGTGGCGCTTTTGGAATGACAGAAATATAGTGGTTTCCCAATAATGGCTGCACACAAAGCAGTGCTGTGCTCATAAATGCTGCTTTATCAGGCATTATAGGAAAGAATAAATAAATGCCATCGAAACTCCCCTTCAGAGATGCATTCATATAAAAACACCCGCACTGCATTTTCACTTTTAGACTCAATGAAATCAGAGCCTTTTGAAGTTTAATCATCACATTAAGCTGTATTGCAATTCTTGTCTGTCAGTCCCCAAATGTAAGACCTGTTGAAATGTTGAAATTATAATTAAGAAATTTCTTATACGTATATTTTCTATATATTTTCTTATATTTAAGGTATCTAAGACTTTTATGGCCTTAAATTTAATTCCACTAAATGTAAGACTTTTTAAGGACCCGTGGGAACCCTGTATTTAAGATATAGGGTGGTGATACATTTTGGTAGCCCGACTGGAAGAAACAATAGCCCTGGACATCAGGCTTGTGATTTTGCAAGCCCTGGGAATATAGTTGTGGTAGCGGTTTCAAGTTGACTTGAGATGTCCCAGAAAGTTGTGAAAACTGCATATTAAGATCCTTATCACTGTCCTCAAAACATAGAATCAGTAATGGCATTAATTTACACAGCCTATATAAATAAATAAATATATATATATATATAAACAGTACTCAAAAACAACACCTTAATGTTTATCTCTTAATGGAATCTACTAGCTGTAAAAGCTGCTGTTTAATTTGTATTAATTTTACATCAAGCTATTAAGCATGGTCTGCTCTTTCATAATGCATAGTTTGTTGGCCAGCTGAATTCAATTTTAAACTTTAATTGAAATCACTCAGCAATCTCATGTAATTCTGCACTCAACTACTGAACGTGCGACTAAACTGTCTCCATTTCAGACTCAATTAACACTGTTTTACATGTGCCACATTAAATTATAACACTTCAGAGACATTCACACAAAAAGCTCTGACTCTTGCTAGGGTGTTGTGTCATGTTTTTTATTGTCTTATGGCATTGTAATTGCTCTTTCACTCACTGCTTGCGCTCTCTTTCTCTCTCTATCACTGCCATGATAAGATAAGAGGTGTAATGGGAATGTAATGTAAATTTGAGTCTTGATGTTGCTGTCCCAGCACAAAATAGCAGAATATGCGAGTGAGATTTCTCTGCATGCATGTCTCTATTGGTTACCCTTCAGGGCAAGGAGCCACTCTCATCGCAGACACCGGCGCCGGAAAGCAGAAATTAGGAGTTCTTCCTGCATGGCAAACAGGTACAGTGGTGACCTTATGACTGAATAATTGGGAGGAGGCCAAATTTAAATGAACTCCGTGGCTGAGTCTAAAACCGAAGGCAGCTGCTATGTTGTCCAGTCTATCAGTGGCATTACAACATCACATTTAATGATCTAAAACAAATTCAAGTAAGAATAGAATAGAATAGAATAGAATAGATAGTCTACAACTGAAGGCAGCTGCTATGTTGTCTATCAGTGGCATTATAACATCCCATTTAATGATCTAAAACAAATTCAAGTAAGAACAGAATAGAATAGAATAGAATAGAATAGAATAGAATAGATAGTCTACAACTGAAGGCAGCTGCTATGTTGCCTATCAGTGGCATTATAACATCCCATTTAATGATCTAAAACAAATTCAAGTAAGAATAGAATAGAAAAGAATAGAATAGAATAGAATAGAATAGAATAGAATAGAGAGTCTAAAACCGAAGGCAGCTGCTATGTTGTCTATCAGTGGCATTATAACATCCCATTTAATGATCTAAAACAGATTCAAGTAAGAATAGAATAGAATAGAATAGAATAGAGAGTCTAAAACAGAGGACAGCTGATATATTGTCCTGTCTATCAGTGACATTATAATATCACATTTAATGATCTAAAACAAATTTAAGTAAGAATAGAATAGAGTAGAATAGAATAGAGCAGAATAGAATAGAGAGTCTAAAACCGAAGTTAGCTGCTATGTTTTCCAGTCTATCAGTGGCATTATAACATCGAATTTAATGATCGAAGTCAAATTCAAGTAAGAATAGAATAGAATAGAATAGAATAGAATATGATCGAAGTCAAATTCAAGTAAGAATAGAATAGAATAGAATAGAATAGAATAGAATAGAATAGAATAGAATAGAATAGAATAGAATAGAATAGAATAGAGAGTCTAAAACCGAGGACAGCTGCTATGTTGTCCTGTCTATCAGTGACATTATAATATCACATTTAATGATCTAAAACAAATTCAAGTAAGAATAGAATAGAGTAGAATAGAATAGAGAGTCTAAAACCGAAGGCAGCTGCTATGTTGTCCAGTCTATCAGTGGCATTATAACATCACATTTAATGATCTAAAACAAATTCAAGTCAGAATAGAATAGAATAGAGCAGAATAGAATAGAGCAGAATAGAATAGAGAGTCTAAAACCGAAGTTAGCTGCTATGTTTTCCAGTCTATCAGTGGCATTATAACATCAAATTTAATGATCTAAGTCAAATTCATGTAAGAATAGAATAGAATAGAAGTTTGTAAGCACACTCAATCACCTGCACATTCCCACATTCATACGGATTAGAACATTCGTATTCAGAACATTTTAAATAACCGTTCCAAACATTTTAAAACATTTTCTTTTTTTCTTTTTTTGGGAGAATGTTGAGCGGCCAGAGATATTTATGGCTTCATGCTGGCCAGTCAGGTTTTTATCTTATCAGTGAGCGTCCGGTGGCACTGTGGCGATGACTGATAAAGGTAGAGGTGACACAGAGGAAACTCTTTTATCTGCCTCTCACAGCTGATGTCCAACATTTGGCGTGTAGATCAATGGAAACGGGAAAGGGAATGAAATTTGAGATCTCGCCCCCGTGGACGGTTGCGCCTCTTTGGAGTGGGTTGTGGGGTGATGGGGTTGAGATACTGTAGAGATGGAGCACTACAGGGAATAGTGTTGAAATAAAGTTTCAGGTTTAAATCTGTTTCCTTTGATAGTAGGTGTCAGTGAAGATTGCCTGTAAAGCATATAAATGTCAATCCTGCTGATTGCCCATGTACAGAGATTATGACAAATGCTCAAACAAGTTAGGACGTTGAAGTACACGCTTCATTATTGCACAAATGAGGGTAGTTTATGAGATGTAAAATAAGACCATTTTGTACTGGGTCAAAGGCGTATATTTTAAAATACATTTTGAATTAGATGAACACATCAGAGTAATCACAGACACAGTTTTTCATGCATTAAATTGGCCTCAAATGCTCTCCCAGGTGTCACCGAACGGATTACTTCATCAGTCCTTCATACAAAAGCCGCTCTCATTCATTCATCACAGAATTTCTGCCATTTTCAAGACCGGAGAAAAACGCGCTCAGGTTTCAAATTGAAATCATCTTAAGCTGGAGATGATTGCTTTTAAATCCCTAACTGATCTCTCCATTATTTGGAATTTCTTAGGGATATTCAAAGGACGAAATCATTATAGAAAGCAAGCACAGTGAAGCTTTACATGGTTTCAGGAGTTTAAAAGGCACAGAGAGCCCACTCACGCCATACAACAGGAACAATGGCCATCAGTTCCCATTCTGGTGAATCCTCATTCTCTTCACAAAGACCTATTACAGATAATATATGTCCTGAGCTGGTATAATTGGCACGTCCTTTCATAGGAAACCGTTTTATTCCACCTTAAGCACATGCAGATCAGAGGAACTAGCCGATCATTTTCCATATGTTAACCTGTGGAGGATTCACCTTTCCACCTCACTGCCCAGATACTGTAGAAAGGGAAAACTGATGAATGACTGTTATACCTTCGCTGTCCCACATTATGATTTTATTGTTACTGTTGTAAAGGTGCTGTGAGCATTATCTTGATAAGCTGGTTCTACTTACAGTATTATGTATATTTAATGTGAATATGAATATTTTAATAGGGGCTGTTAACAATGATTTCAATTGCTTTGTGTATGTAGATATGAAGATTGTGAAAAATCTGGTTTGCAAGACGGTGGCCGTTCATCAGCTGTCCATGGAGGCAACACATGCAGGTCGGCAATCAAGCTGACCAGTAAAATCTCCTCTAAGTGCTGCTGCCACTTTTCTGAAAGCACCGTAAGTGTTTCTGATGGCTACCTGATGCGCTTACAATGCCAAACTCTTGCTCAGTTTACTGCCTCGTGAAACCATTGATTATTTTTGCTTAATAGGTGTCAAGACGACAAAAGTTTTACACGTATCTGTTAAACTAATGGATTTTAAAGTCAGCAAGTGCACATTTTTTCTCCATGGAAAAATATTTATTGTGATTTATGTGACTTTTCAGCCTGGTCTCATGTTTATACGTAGGAATTAATACGTAACATTTACAAGCACAAAACGTACATTTTTGTACGTTTTTATTTATGCTAAAAATTCAAACACACCTCACCAGAAACACGGCTTGTCGCAATCTGTGACGAATGCAGGCGAGAGCCAATGAGCGTTCGATTATCCTGCCGTTTGAAGCGGCAACATTTGAATTTGTAAAGAGCTCGTCAGTCAGCGCGGGCTTTGCTGCTCACGGTCACTAGACTCGCTGCTCGGGATGGAGAAGAAGATCGCCGAAACCACGGCATGCACTTTACCGTCTTGGCTGCTAGAGCAGCCTGGGCTCATGTTTATACGTAGGGATTAATACGTAACATTTACAAGCACAAAACGTACATTTTTGTACGTTTTTATTTATGCTAAAACGTACAATTTTAGACGTATTTCAACGTTTAAAATGTACAAATCGCTACGTATTTTTAGCTAAAAAACGTACAAATATTTACGTATCGTTTATATCAAGATGTTCGTATCAATGCATTTTTATAATTTTATTAATACGCAATTTAGATTTGATATTCTTGGAAACGAGCTGGCAGCAGAAATCACACAACAAAACTAAATGTTATAATTTCATAAGTGAACAATTTAATAACGCAATTGAAAACAAGCTAATTCATATGACAACTAAAATTAATGCCGCAATTTCAATATTCATAAGGATTCATTTTTAGGTGTCGTCAATACGTCAATTTTGTACGTTTAGATGCTGAAAATACGTCAGTATTGTACGTTTTAGTGCCTGTAAAAACTTAAGTAAATGTACGTTTTATAGAACCACATGTTACGTAAAATACATACGAATTATCATGAGATCACGTTGGACTTTTTGCATGTTTTTTAGTTCTTTTACAATAAACAGTGGGTAGGATTTGGATTGAAGCTAGCCATAGTTAAGCATAAAGGCATAGCATTTTTAATTCTCACAGATGAAGTTTTTCTACAGTCCTTTTTTAATGGGAACAATAATCACCATTGTAGCAATGCCTTTGAGTCAGGTTATTTTGGTGGTTGGAATTTTTAACCAACATGAGATTTGCATATTGCACACATGCTTGACACACAATTTAAACGTAAGTTAATTAACTTTTTAATGAGAGTGCTTTTCGAGTGTTTTCCGCTCTCTGTAATTACACTTTTTAAAAGCGACATGCAACCTACTGCCACACTCCAACTAACTGCATCCACTCTATATCCACAGAAATATCAAACATCATTCAATAAATAAAAGTTCACCATCACTAAAGAACATAGTCCAGGGGAGTGGTCATATAATGTCCTAATTTAATGTTAATAATTAACATAAACCTATATACTGCATCATGGATTTTCTAACATTATTTTCAGTAAGCTTTTAAATAAACTTTTGTATCATGGCTTCGAAGCCTTTGGTGATGGTCTGTATGCGCAGAAGATAAATCACTTTTCCTGACATAATCATTATAGTTACACTAATTGCATTCTCTAATCTTTTAAACACTGCTAATATTTTTGTCTTGTGCTATCATATTTAAAGATTGTCCAGTATGTGAAGAAAATATTTCTTCCATTGTTTTTTGAAAGTGCTTAAACTATAGATGTTGACATAAATGTCTTTGAAAAGTCTCTCTTTTGAAGAAAAATTTGTTTTTGTATATTTTAGATACATTTTATTGCACGGTTGGTTAGCAGTGGCCTTTTTCTGTTTAAGTAAAGCATGCTTTGCTCTGGTGCGGTTTGTTTCATACACTGAAGCTTGCAAAAAGCTGATGATCTATACATAACCTGCACATAATTGTTTCAGTCTCACTTCACAGCTCGATCATTACAAACAACCACCGGGCTCTGTCAGAGTTGTGCAAATTCTACCACAAACCAGAGTTTGATTGCTTTTTGCGCCACTGTAGCAAACTAGAACTTTATTGAAGTTTAGCAGCTTCTTTCCATTTTCCACGAAGGATGCAGAGTCTGTTTGAATTTGTTCCATCAGTCCCACAACAGAAAATGAGAACTCATTTAAGACCTACAGGTGCACAACAAAGGTAAAGAAAAAGGCTCATGCCGGTATGTGGCAGAGCGGAGTTGGATTTAAAGAAGAGAGGGTTATTGTCTTTTTCTTGCACTTTACCACTCTAATGATGCACTTATGTCACCCGCTCTTCCCTTTTTCTTACACCTTACCTACTTAAGGAGGAAGTCTTGATTGGTAAGTCGATGCTATCCGCAGATTTAGGGTCTTATTGTAGGCCGCTGGTGGACTGTAAAATCTCTTCCGACAGAGGACTAAAGCAGAAACATGTTCTTTTTGTTTTTCTCAAGGATTTTACCTAGTTAGAATGATGGAGATATTTCTTTTGTCTGCAACCCTTTTCATATAACTATATATTTTTTTTTACTTAAGCCCATTCTGTGATGTCTGTTCAATGTTCTTTAAAGGAAAAGTGCTTTCGAATTGGGGATTTCTGTTTCCTTTTACTCTCTTTTTCTTCTAACATAAAAGTAGCTGGAAGTTTATTCATGTAGGTTCTTTTCTCTCTTTTCTGATCTGTCTCTTTCATTAGCATTGGTTCATTGTTTATTTTCTCTCTTCAGTCTCTATTTCATTAGTTTCTTTTGTAAGAGTTCTTGCTTTGTTCTTCTCCTTTCTTTTCAAATTTCTCGCATGTGACAGATCTGCATGGCATTTTTAATCTTTTAGTTTCTGTCCCAAAAAAAAACTTGATTCATTTCCTCTCTGTGCTCTGTATGGACATATGTGCCTTTTAAAGAGTACTCAAACTGTATCATGCAGGTAGCAGATTATTGATGCGGCCTTGATTTTCTTTAGAAAAATAACAACAACTTTGCTTTGTCTGCTCGCAGATCTCGCCATCACGTCCTGGGGTTGAGGGTTTAAACAAAATGGTGATCGTCCAGGACTCGATATCCAAAAAGGGCAAAGGACATGCAGATTACGATTCGGGAAATGACACGTCATCTCCACTGTCAAGTAAAACAGGCATCCCAAAGTCAAAGGTGTCCGGAAACGGAAAGATCTCATGCCAGGATCTGACATCTCCTGAGAAGCTTAGGCTAGTCGATGGAGACAATGCCTCAGATTCAGGCAACTCTCTAACCAGCTATGACTCTCTGGGTAAACCAGTGCTCAAAGAAAACACCCTTCACAGCTCTGTCTTCAACAAGCTCAAAGGGTGAGGCTGTTTTGAATGCATTTTACACCAACTTTACATCGGTCTGAACTCATTCTATTACAGTTACAGTAAGAGTAAGTAAACAGAATATATGCTATACATCAGATCTATCACTGTCTAAAATACCATTAAACCTTGACATAAACATTAACACGGTAAAATTCCGGCAACCACAGCTGACGTTTTTTTACCGTAAATTCTACGGAATTTTTTTTTACAGTGTATCTTTCCAGCGTAAGTGTATAATTTTGGATGTAGGTTCGGCTTCTGTTTCACTCTTTACATATGGCCACTGATGAGTGACTTTTCAAGTTAAAATAATATAGAAAATTCAGACCGAACATGGCAAAAAAACAACAACTGTACAAAGCAGTGTTTTATTAGTATTATTAAAATTATAATTTTTATATTTTCCATTTTTAGTACACTCAAATTTTCAAATTTTTTCAACATTTTTTTATGTATTTCAATTACATACAAATTTTCCATCCATTTAGATTACATAGTTTTAACATAAACAAATCAATAAACTTAATGTGATTCATATGCGTCAGTCATACGTGAATGAAACAGGTAAGTTTTATGTAATAGTAGTGCCCACACTGCTCAGTGCTCATGTGCACATAAAGTTTCAATTTAGACCGAAACTTTTTTTTTTGAGTGTATTTAGTATTTTACACATTTTTTAGAACTTTTGTTTTTTAATTTAGTTTTAGGTTTTACTTCAAGTAACTTTTTTTTTATAGTTATAGCTTTAGTTAACTATAATAACCCATGTACAGAGTGCAGTCTCTTTCTGCAACAGGTCTCCTATTATATTGTGAAGTAATAAAGTAAATAAAAATAACTATAATAATTATAAAATGTATAATTGATTATACAATCATAATAATTAAAAAAATAATAATTTCCCTCTTATAATTGCAGTGAAGAAGCGGGCACGTGCTCTGATTTGGGGAAGACACAGCCCCTGGGTGTCGTCACTGATAGGAATCGGAGTCTGCCTTATGATAGATATCAGGATCGAGCGAGGTCCCGCAGCAGAAGCATATCATCCCAAAGCAGATACTCAGGGCGCTATTCCAGAAGCCGATCCCTGTCCTCAGGGAGGAGGTGGGTCACACAGCTGCCATTCATTATAGAAAACACAACTCTGATTTGAAGCTTTCGATTTAGTTGCAAACTGGTATTTTTGTATCTGACAGTATGATCTCCCTCGGCTCATTTATAGATCATATTCCCGTTCATCCAGTTATTCACTGGATTCTCGGAGAGACAGTCTGTCTAGTGCGAGCAGTCACCGCAGTTTAAATCACTCACGGTGCACACTAGACAGGTGAATTTCAGCTAAAAGAAGAAGTGTTTTATCTAAAATAATGGTTTGACGATGACTGCGACATTAATTAACACATACATGCTCACATCTCTTTCATGTGTGGATGAAAAGGTTTCGAGAGCGGAAAAGATACTGCAGTTCCTGCAAGAATAGAAAGCACAGCAGGAGAAGACCTTGCTCTCAGTCTTCAGTGTCACATGATCTTCAGAAATCAGTATAATATCCTGATTTGGTGCTCAAGAAACATTTCTCTTTTTTGTGATAAGCATTTTTTATTTGCCAAAAAAACACTAACTTGCATGTGAAAGGAATAAAAAACATGACGAAGTATAAAGATATACAACTATACAACAAAGTCATGAAAAAAGAAGAAAAATGTAATTACAATAGTAAAACCTTGTGATAAAGTGATATCTCTTAATATTATTTAAAAAAATTGTGCTGTTTTAAAGTTTTGTGGAAACCTTGATTATTTTTTTTTATATAGGATTTTTATTTTTTTTCATAAAATGAAAGTTCAAAAGAACATAATTTATTTGAAATAAAAATATTTTTTTATCTTTCATAAAAAAATTATTTTTTGACCAATTTTATGCATCTTTTTTGAACATATGTATTAATTTCTTCAAAAAATCTAACATCTAACTATTCTTTTCCTAAAGGAGAATAATATTAGGTATTTAGAAAAATCTGTTGAAGGCAGGATTTTATATCCCTTAATCTATGTAACTTCTGTATTATTATATTATTAATTGTGTGCGCTCAAAAAAAAAAAAAAAGTTTAGTCAACCAAGTAGCTAAAGTTCAGACCAAATAAGGTATATAAAAAATATATTTTATTTTCCATATGCAAAAGTGAAAAAGAAATCACTCACGGTGCACACTAGACAGGTGAATTTCAGCTAAAAGAAGAAGTGTTTTTTCTAAAATAATGGTTTGACGATGACTGCGACATTAATTAACACATACATGCTCACATCTCTTTCATGTGTGGATGAAAAGGTTTCGAGAGCGGAAAAGAGACTGCAGTTCCTGCAAGAATAGAAAGCACAGCAGGAGAAGACCTTGCTCTCCAATGAGGAAGAGAAGAAGAGATTCCCCCAGTCACCTGGAAGCCCGTAGAATTACAAGGTCTGTTCTTACAGAACTACTAGTGTTACAATACAAGCTAACAAATGGAAACTGCTCCGCCGATCTATCTTTGGAGATCTGGGTTTACTGATTGTGTGGGCAAATCTGTGGAAAACTGCAGAATGGATTTAAACACTGTAAAATGTTTAAACTGAGCTAAGAATATATTAATAGAATTCTAATTGGAAGCTGAAGGCATTGTCAAATTAGCAAATATATTTAACAAATTAAAATGTAAGTGGCAGGAATGTCAGCATTCCAATTCTTTCTGCTTGCATCCTCAAGAGAAACAAATTAATTCTTCAAATTAATGTTTATATATATATAT